CGCCAGGGTGGGTCTCGCTCGCAGCCCGCAAGAGCAACGGGGCCAGGGCGAGGCGCGTGGGTTCCTCGCACGGACGCAGGTCCTGTCCTGTGAGCCGTAGGGCCTTGGGCGTGTCCCTTCATCTCTGTGTGCCTCAGTTTCCTCACCTGTAAGATGGGGGACTCGTGCTTTCCTTTTGGAGTGTTTGTAAAGTTCGCATGAAAGACAGATGTTCCCAGGGCACGTGAGCCCTTGCGTTCTCCGATGCCACCCACTTCTGGACAGGGACCTGACTGCTGTAAGCCTTCCCAAGGCTCAGCACCCAAAACTTATCTTCCATCTTTCATTTCTCCTTCCCTCTGGAATCCCTCCTGTCGGCTCCCAAACTCCAGTAGCTTCCCGCTTTTAAATTTAAAAATTTTTTTTTTAAAATAGGGTCTCACTCTGTTGCCCAGGCTGGAGTGCAGTGGCTCGATCCCAGCTCACTACAGCCTCGACCTTCCTGGCTCAAGTGATCCTCCCACCTCAGCCTCCTGAGTAGCGAAAACTACAGGTGTGCACCACCACACCTGGCTAATTTAAAGATTTTTTTTTTTTTTTTTTAAGAGACAGCGTCTCACTCTGTTGCCTAGACTGGTCTCGAACTCCTGAGCTCAATAAGTCCTCCCACCTTGGCCTCTGAAAGTGCTGTGATTACAGGCATGAGCCACTGCAGCCAGCATTTCCTTTTTTTTTTTGACTGGGTCTTCCTCTGCCACCCAGGCTGGAGTGCAGTGTTGTGAATACAGCTCACTGCAGCCTCAACTCTCCAACTTAAGCTATCCTCCTCCCTCAGCCTTCTCAGTAACTGGGACTATGGGCATGTGTCACCACGTTGGTTAATTCCTGTATTTATTGTAGAGATGGGGTCTCCTATGTTGCCCAGGTTGGTCTCAAACTCCCAGACTCAAGCAATGCAGCCACCCCAGTCTCTCAAAGTGTTGGGATTACAAGTGTGAACCACCATGCTTGGTCTCATTCTCTTCATATAATTTATCGCTCAATGGGACTGTCTTTGTTGTTGGCGTGTATGTTTCCTTGTGTTGGAGCATGACTTCCCAGGGCATATTCTTAGTTTCTCCCCATGAACATCGAACTCAGTTGTTCTCAAAGTGTGGTCCTTGGTCTCAGCCTCCGCATCATCAGATAACTTGTTAAAAATGCAAACTCTCTTAGCTTGGGCAACAGGGTGAAAACCCGCTTCTACTAAAAATACAAAAAATAGGCTGGTGTGGTGGTGTGTGCGTGTAACTCGGGATCCTGGGGCAGGAGAATCGCTTGAACCGGGGAGGCAGAGGTTGCAGGGAGCGGAGACGGCACCACTGCACACCAGCTTGGGCAACAGAGTGAGACTCTGTCTCAAAAACAAACAAACAAAACCAAAAAACAAAACTTAGCCGGGCGTGGTGGCACATGCCTGTAGTCCCGGCTACTCGGGAGGCTGAGGCACAAAAATCTCTTGAACCCAGGAGGCAGAGGCTGCAGTGAGCTGAGATCGTGACACTGTACTCCAGCCTGGGTGACAGAGCGAGACTTTCTCAAAGAAAAAAAAAGAAAAGAAAAAAGAAAAAAATGCAAATTCTCAGGCTCCACTACAGACTTAAGAATCAGAAACTCTGGGGGTGGAGCCCAGCAATCTGTGTTTTAACAAACCCTCCAGGGGGTTTAGGGTTTGAGAATCACTGATCTGGCACAAGGTATGGTGCTCCACAATCCTTAGCTGAATTAAAGAACCCTGTGCGAAGCACACACTCAGTACAAATAAGCTGCTGCTGCTTCTTCCTTTCTTTTTTCTTGCGAGGGAGTCTAACACTGTCGCCTGGGCTGGAGCGCGGTGGTGTGATCTCAGCTCGCTACAACGTCCGCCTCCCGGCTTCAAGCGATTCTCCTGCCTCAGCCGCCCAAGTAGCTGGGATTACAGGTGCCCGCCACCGTGCCCAGCTAATTTTTTGTGTTTTTAGTAGAGATGGGGTTTCACTATGTTGGCCAAGCTGGTCTCAAACTCCTGACCTCGTGATCTGCCTGCCTCGGCCTCCCAAAGTGCTGGGATTACAGGCGTTAGCCACCATGCCCAGCCACAAATAAGCTTCTTTTGTAACTAGAGATCCCCTGGGAGGCATCAAAACCGGGGCTAGATTAGTGTAAAAAGTAAAAATTGTGTATGTTCTTATGGACATAGTATCGAAAAAAATCAGCATGGTGGTTCTAAGGAGATCCAGGGAGTACGAATTTTCACTGAATACTTCTTTGCATCCTGTGGATTTTGCAATGTGTGTGTCCTATCTATTCAAAAACTGGACGGAGTGTACTTAAAAGAAATCGAAGCAGGCAGGGGGGAATTCCCTACCCCAGCCCTTTCTCAATGAATGCAGCCTGGCTCTGACTCTAGGTAGGACAAGGAAGAGCAAGGCTGCTGTCACTGGAGGAACTCTGCCCCCTGCTGGCTGTTCCCCCCCCCGCATGACCTGATGATCTCTGGCTGCCTCCTCTTCACCCTTCTCTCCCTCGGTGGGCTCTGGTCACCACGGATTCTCCCAGCTGCTCAAATGGGCCAAGCCCTGATCTGGCTTTGGGACCTTGGCACATGCTGTTCCTTCCACCCGAAAGCCTTCCTCTCCACCTAGTCCCACTTCTAATCATCCTCCCGACTGAGCTCAATCTGCCCCGCCTCTGCCTCCCGAAGTGCTAGGATTACAGATGTGAGCCACCACACCCTGCCATGCCTGCCTCGTTCTTAGCTGTATCCCTGTCTGGTCCCGTCTGTCTGCTGCCTCTGGCCTCAGAACCACACCCACTAAGATCCCTCCTTATCCTTGAACACATTGCTTTCCAGATCTTTTGTCTTGAGTCCTGCACGTGGTAGCAGAGTCTTTTTCATCTTTCTGAGCCTGTCCCCACATTTCTAAACTGGGGGGAAGGTACTGATTTCTTAGGATTGTTGGAAGAAATGTAGAGAAATTAGATAAAAGGCCCCATAGTAGGTGCTGGACTCAGAGTGAGTGCTTAGTTCATAGAACCCTCTATGCTTAGGACAGTGGCTGCGGTCTCTAGCAGTCATTTCCCTTGCTTTTCTCAGTTTTGTGATATTTGACTCTTCCCAGAAGCACTTTCAGAAGACATGCGTCTGAGATTCAGAACCACTCTTTAAATAACATTAGTAACAGGTTCCATTTATTAGGCCAGACCTTTAACTGCTTTGCACGCATCGTTTAATTCTCACAGCATTCCTGCTAGGTAGCAACTATCGTTATTACCCATCCCCTCTTAGGAGACAGGAAATAGAGGCTCAGAAGTCACTCGCTTAGGGTTAGTTGTTTTTATCCATTCTTCCACCCAGTCAGTAATTATTGAGAGCCTACTATGTGCCAGTACTCAGCAGCTGGGGTTATGAGTGAGAATAAAGGGATGTGACTAGTCAGGGAGGTGTGGGAAGGTTTGTGGAAGGAAGGGACAACAGAGCTGTAGTCTGAAGGACTGGAGTTGTTTCCAGGGGCTGAGCATTTGGCTGAACTCTTCTGCCCATCTAAGAGGGTTGACTTAGAATCTTCATCAACTACCAAAATCCTAGGGCTGCATGTTTCTGCAGTGCCACTTAGGCTCTGATGGCATCTCCAGGGACAGAGAACTCACTACCACCAGAACCTGTGACAAAAAGGTAGAGTCCCGAGAAAGGCCAGATGGTCCTGATTTTTTTTTTTTTTTTTTTTTTGAGACAGAGTTTTGCTCTTGTTGTCCAGGCTGGAGTGCGATGGCGCGATCTCGGCTCACCGCAATCTCCGCCTCCCAGGTTCAAACGATTCTCCTGCCTCAGCCTCCCGAGTAGCTGGGATTACTGGCATGCGCCACCACGCCTGGCTAATTTTTTTTTTTTTGTTGGGGCGGGTTTTCTCCATGTTGGTCAGGCTGGTCTCAAACTCCCGACCTCAGGTGATCCGCCCGCCTCAGTCTCCCAAAGTGCTGGGATTACAGGTGTGAGCCACCGCGCCCAGCAAGGTCCTAACATATTTTAGAACCCATAGCTGAGGGAATGGCAGGCCGTCCTCTCTCAGTCACAGGGTTTAGCTCCGAAACACTGCTACCTAGCAGAGGGGATCTAGTTGTCCCTCGGTGGAAGGTATTAAGGAAGATGCCACTGAAGAAACATTTGAACAGGATCTTGAAAGATGCATAAGAGTGTGGGAGTGGGTCTGGTGAACTCGGCTGCGTTCCAGCTTGAAGGAGCCAAGGATTAAGGTTCTGGTATGTGACAGAATGGAGCTGGAATCCCCATCACTTCTGGTGGACTTCATCACCAGAATTGCTGGAGAGGGACAATATTGTTGTTCCCTCAGAGAGCGGGTACGAGGTTTAGACGGCAGAGTGTTAATGTAAGTCTCCCAGATTACATATGAAATAGTTTCACCAGTGTTGATAAGGTCCAGGTGCCCCCAAGTGCAGAGAAGCGTTGCAACTTTCGTAGCAGGTGAGGGAAGGGGTGTGGTGCGAAACGTGGGCAAAGGTCAGGTCAAGCAGGGATGCGAATGCCAGGACGAGGACTTACAATTAAGCAAAAATGACACAAAAGAGCTAAGGGATTGGTGGGGCGGGTGGAGCAGGAGAGGGCGAAGGAGGGGCCACCGAGGAAGCTGCAGCATAATCCGGCAGAGCAGAGGCAGGCAAAGCACCAGCGTTCTCATTCTTTGTCTTCAAGCGGGCCAGGTAGGCCTTAGACCCTGGGCGACAGCAGCGAAGTCCTTTTCCGAAGGGGTCGCCGAAGGCGGACACCCCGGCGGGCCCAGTGACCGGTGGCCGCGCGCCACCTGGTGGCCGCAGCGGGCGGATTCGGCCGGGGGCCGCGGAGCAGCTGCAAAATTCAGGATTTTGCTTCCGGAAAGCTTCGGGAAACTGAGGTGGGAGGGGCAGGGGTTTACGATCTTCCAACTGGATCCTGTCCTTATTCCAACCCCCTTTTAGAGATAGGGAAACTGAGGAAAGGGGAAGGCGAATAAGACTGGGTAAGAGATCCCTCTTAAACGGAAGGTTTCAAGACACCTGGAGTCAAGAGCCTAGGGCTTTCCTGAATAGCTCCAATGTCCCGGAGCTTAGTTTGCCCATCTGTTCTATGGGCAGGGGGAAAATGAAAGGGGAGGAGGGGAAACTTTGGTCCTTCCCGCCCACCCGGAGGTAAAAAGGCTTTAAAGACTACCCCGGAAAGAAGAGTTTTATAGATTCTATTTGCATACGAACGCAGTCACCTCAAGTTAAACTCCGGTCCTTTAATCTCCGGTCCAATTTGTCCTGCAGCGGCAGGGAGAGGCCCTCGTGAGTACCTTAAAGCCCCGCCTCCAGGGCCCCGCCCACAGGGTTGGGCTTCGTTGCACGTGCTCACCCGGCTGCCTGGCGATCCGCCTCCTTGGAAAGACTCATTGTTGGAGTGGGGGGTTACGAGGACTCTTAGGGAACTTTGATCAGGTATAAATCACAATCAAGAGAAGTCCCGGAAGTATCCGCTTACTACGTAGACATCAAACGCTTTGTCATGGTTCTTGATATTGACAGACTTTAGCTTTCCCTTCTCAGTGCTTCTTATCCCTCCTTCCACCCCTTCAGTTGGTGCGGTCGGCGTGGCCGGCCTCGCTGAGCGGACTCCAACTCCCAGCGTGCCCCGCAGGGCAGTGCGCGGCAGCGGCGTGTGACGTCAGGGGAGGGA